TTTATCAACTTAATTTAACCCCCAGACAACTTTATGAAGAAGGTACATTATCATCCTCATTTTTACAGATGGGGAAACGGAGGCACCGAGAAATAAAGTAACTTTCCCAAGGATGCACAGCTAGTAAATGGTAGAGCCAGGATTTGAATCCTGGAGGACAAACTGCAGGGTCTGTGCTCCTAGCCATGTCACTATACTGTTTCTCAGTAAATATCAGCTATGTATTGAGTTGCTGCTTTAACCAGTGATGGGGTGGGAGTGCAGAAAAGGCTCATGGATGGCTTTCCAGAGATCACGCCAGACTCAAAGCTGAGGGTTACAGGAGTTAGTTATAGGAATAGTGTCCCAGACAGACAGAATCGCATATACAAAGGTGTGGAGGTAAGATATCACAGGGGATATGGGAGATCTAGGTGGAGCTGGTGTTGCCTGGGACTGAGGATACAGTGAGTGCAGTGAGCATAGGGCTCAGGCAGGTCTAAGAGCTAGCCTAAAGGACACTAGCCTGAAGGCAATATGGGACCAGAGGACAAAACTCAGTGAGTTCCCAGCCTGCCTTTCTCTGGGAACAACTCACATTACCCAGGCAGGTGGGGGAGGTTGACTCAGAGGCTGCTGTGAGCTTAGGGGAGCGGGGGAACTGCTGTCCCACGCTCCCACACCACTGTGAGCTAACACCCCAGCAGCCTCCCAAACAACAGCTCCACCGGCAAGAAGCAGCCATTCCCAGCATGCTGGAAGCAGCAGGCTCTGTAGTGCTGCCAGGAAGCTGAGCATCGCCCAGGGAGGTCAAGGGCTGACTGATGGCAGCCTCAGACCCCTTATCCAAACCTAGGCACCTGTGGATCCCAAAGCCAACCCCAGAGCCTGCCACAGAGCACAGTGTTCTGGCCCCTGCCCCTCACTTGGCTGCCCCTAGAGACAGGGGGACTCACCCATGGGGTCTAGCACTTTTCTCATTCAAATTCAATACCTTCAGATCCATCTCTTTCATTTTGCCACATCTGTTCTAGATAAACATTGACACATGTACATGAAACATTCACTGTGGCAAAAGCAAAGCTACTGGAAAAATCTACATCAATAAGAAGCTAGTTCAAAAATTCTGGTGAATCCATACTATGGAATACTACACAGCAGTTAAATAGAATGGCACAGATCTGTACTGTACATGTTCTGGCATGGAAATATCTCCAAGACATACTGTTGGATGGGAACAAAAGAAAATTGCAGAATAATGTATCTGGGATATTGTCACTTATGTAAAAACTTTAAAAAAGAAATCTGGTGGATCACGAGGTCAAGAGATCGAGACCATCCTGGTCAACATGGTGAAACCCTGTCTCTACTAAAACTACAAAAAATTAGCTAGGCATGGTGGCGCGTGCCTGTAATCCCAGCTACTCGGGAGGCTGAGGCAGGAGAATTGCCTGAACCCAGGAGGCGGAGGTTGCGGTGAGCCGAGATCACGCCATTGCACTCCAGCCTGGGCAACAAGAGCGAAACTCCGTCTCAAAAAAAAAAAAAAAAAAAGAAAAAAGAAAAAAAGAAATCTGGCTTTATATTTCTCTTAAATCCACAATTGCATAGGTAAATAAGAAAAATACCTGAAAAAAAAGCATCAAACTAACAACAGTAATAATGGATGGACAAAAAGAAGGAAAGAAAGAGAGGAAGGAGAGAGGGAGGAAGGGAGGTACAGAGAGGACTTTTTACTTTGTACACTTCTATGTTGATTGATTTTTTTTACAAGAAGAATGTATTTGTGCATGTTTAGGTTCTGAAAAGCATTGAACAAAACAAAGATAAAGGTTGTTATCACCACGCTGGTACAAGTCTCAGGGTAACTTTTCAAAGAACTGTCACATCCAGGACCTTATCTAAGTCTTGCCATACCCTCTTGAGGGCAAGCTTTCAAAACCTGATTTTACAGATCAAAATACTGAACACAGTGGCCTACGCCTGTAATCCCAGCACTTTGGGAGGCCAAGGTGGGTGGATCCCTTGAGGCCAGGAGTTTAAGACCAGCCTGGCCAACATGGCAAAACCCCATCTCTACTAAAAATGCAAAATTAGCTGGGTGTGGTGGTGCATGACTGTAATCCTAGCTACTTGGGAAGCTGAGGCAGGAGAATTACTTGAACCCAGGAGGCAGAGGTTGCTGTGGGCTGAGATCGTGCCACTGTACTCCAGCCTGGATGACAGAATGAGACTTCTTCTCAAAAACAAAAACAAAATCAAACAAAACAATCGAACCCACAGAGGCAGAACAAGCTGCTCAAAGTCATAAGCAGGGCAGCAGGGCTCTGTTCCCTCCACTTCCAACCCAGTGGCCCAGTGCTCCTTCTAACCCGTACACAAGACATCAGCAAGGGGTAGGGGCTGGCAAGCGGCTGGGAGGATGTTCTGAAGCCTAAGCCAGTGCACAGAGCCCCTCAGGGAGTGGCAACGGGGCTTTGTCAGGAAGAAAGGCATCAATAACGTAGGGTGAGAGAAGAGCTGATGAACTTCCGCCCCCAACAAAAATTAGACATCATGACAAGCCACCCACTGCGTGGGGATAGGGCTGCCGCATCACTTAGCAAACTGCATGTGGGAAGGAGCCTTGGGGCCATGTCCCCAAGCCCGAGATTTCACCCCTGTCTCCCCAGGGCTGCTCACCCCAGGCTCTCAGAGGAGCAGCTCCCAGCAGAGTGGTTCTAGGGATGCCTCTTGCAGCTAAGTGGAAGTGGACTTATGCTTCTCAGAGGGTTCTAGAACCTGAAGAGCAAGATGACTAAAACCCAGCACACTCTTGGGCTGCAAGTGTCACCACCTCTCTGTTCTCTCATTGACTAGAAGGTGTGTGCAGGGACCCAGGAAGCATGGTCAGGCCTCTCCAGGGACAGCCAGAAAGGTTTATTATACAGGGATGGGCCAAGGGACCCAGGGGAACAGGAGGGGTACAGACCCTGGCTGCACAATGAGCAGGCGAGACTGCCTCCAAATAAGCCCAGGGAAGGGGGCTGTGGTTAAACCATGGATCCTCCATTCATTATTACAACGGGAAGCAAACCTACAAAGCCATGAGGGCAGTGACAAGAGCTCGGACACGGGTGGTTCTGATCCCAGTCTGCCACCTTGGTCAAGGTTCTGAACCTCTCTCTATTTCAGTTTCCCCATCTGTAAAATGGGTGTTATTATACATGGCTCTTAAAGCACTGTCCAGGGTACAGATCATGGTATCTAGCTCATGAGACACAATAATAATATAACTAAATTAAATACGGCAAGTACAAGGTATCCATAAAACCTGGCAACAGGCCAGGCACAGGTGACTCATGCCTGTAATCCCAGCACTTTGGGAGGCCGAGGTAGGTGAATCCCCTGAGGTCAAGATTTCCAGACCAGGCTGGCCAACATGGCAAAATCCCATCTCTACTAAAAAAAAAAAAAAGCTGGGTGTGGTGGTATATGCCTGTGATCTCAGCTACTCAGCTAGCTGAGGCAAGAGAATTTCTTGAGCCGGGAAGGCAGAGGTTACAGTGAGCCGAGATCACATCGCTGCACTCCAGCCTGGGTGACAGAGCAAGACTCCGTTTCAAAAAAAAAAAAATTGGAAACATGTTTGTTTATATTTATTTACTCATTCACTTTACAAATTGAAAATGTCCCAGACAACATTGTCTCTATCTATATTTTCAGATTTTATGGACATCCTCTGATAACGTAAATAAAATATACTGAATAAAACATTACTAATCACTTTCTCAACATAAGGGACCATGTTTAAGGACTTCACAGGGATTTTCTAGCTTAATGTTCACAGCAAACCCTTAAAGTAGATTTTCTTATTAGCCCCATTTTACAGAGGTGGAAACAAAGTACAGAGAGAGGCAGCGACTTGTCTGCTTGTCAAGCACACACGGGGAACTGACAAAGCCAGTTTTAGATTCGGGTAGTCTCACTTCAGAGTCCATCCTGCTACACCACTTATGACTACAGCAAAGGCTATATATAAGAAATACACAGAACAGCATTCAGAGGGTGCCAGGCATGGGACCCCCTGAGGGTCTGGCACAGAGGTGAGCTTTATGAAATGCCAGATCCTACGAGTATTGAGCTCTTGGTGGGGAGAAACCAGATCCAACTTGTTCACCACTATATCTAGGAAAGTAATGCGAAAGAAGTAGAGTGTCTATAAATATTTGTGGGAGAGAAAGAAAGTTATTATGGCATTCATTAGCCAAAGGCTGGAATCCTTGTTTCCAAAATTGAAAAAAAAAAAAAAAACTTGGGCAAGGTGGCATGCCTATAATCTTAGCTACTTAGGAGGCTGAGGCATGAGGATCCCTTTAAGCTGGGAGTTTGAGACCAGCCCGGGCAACATAGTGAGACCCTATGTCTAAATAAATAAATACATAAAAACGAATGATGTTTAAACAAAAAGTCTAGGCCTGGTGCTGTGGCTCATGCCTGTAATCCCAGCACTTTGGGAAACCAATGTGGACAGGTCACTTGAGCTCAGGTGTTTGAGACCGGCCTGGGCAATAAAATGAGACCCCCAACTTCTAAAAAAAATTCTTTTTAAAAAATTAGCTGGGCCTATCAGGCCACTGCACTCCAGCCTGGGCAACAAGAGCAAAACTCCATCTCAAAAAAAAAGAAAATAATTAGCTGAGTATGGCGGCAGTGTGCCTGTGGTCCCAGCTACTCGGGAAGCTGAGGTGGAAGGATCACTTGAGCCTGGGTGGCAGAGGTTGCAGTGAGCCAAGATCGAACCACTGTTCTCCAGCCTCGGAGACAGAGTGAGACCCGTCTTAGAAAAAAGAAAAAAGTCTAAGATAAATTTCAAGCTTTTCCTAGGAATGTCCACTTCCTAAGAGGAGTGGGGCCGCTGGAACTTGGAAGAGGGTCTACAGACCCACCTTGCCCACACATCTACTGCACAGAACCTGGATTCCAAGCCCTGATCAGAGGCCAAGGCAGCTGCATGGCGCCCAAGGCACAGAGGGGCCTACCTTCCTCGGCGTCATTCCTCAGTGAGGCCTCCAGCAGGGCCACGCTGGCCTCGAAAGACACTTTCCTGCGGCGGCCGCCCGCGCTGCGCTTCCGCTCATGCTTCCGCTTCCGGTGCTCCAAGTCCTGCTCATACTGAGCCCACTTCTTCAGCTGCTGGGCCCGGCGCTTCTGGGCGGCACGCAGCCGCTCCAGCGTGGGCACCTTCTCCAGCAGCTGCAGCTCTGTCAGCAGGTCCACGTGGCTGGCCATGGCCACCGCCCTCCCCACGCCCTAGCTGGGGGCTAGCACGGTGCACCGGGGGCCAGGGCAGCGCGGGGCCTCTGGTGGGGCAGGGGCCTCATGGTGGGGCCTGTGGCAAGAAGGGAGACACAGATGAGCACATGTCAGACTCCACAACTCAGATCCAATTATGTGAGATCACCCCGCCGCCCGGTGTTCAAAACGCTTTTGAGGTTTTCCTTCCATTGCTCGGAGAAAAGTGTAAACCCTTACAGTAGCCCTCTAAGATTCAGCAAGGTCTGGCTGTACTGTCTAATACAGTATCCAGTAGCCACCTGTGGCTATTTACATTTAAATTAATTAGAATAAAGTAAAATAATTTAGTTCCTTGGTTGCACTATCCACATTTCATGTGCATGGTCGCCACGTGCTTCATATTGGATGGTGCAGATAGAGAATATTTCCATCACTGCAAAAAGCTCTACTGCATAGTGTTGGTTGTCTGCCTCTCTAGCCACAGCCATCAACAGGAAGCATGCTCTTTTAGTTTTCTTATATAGAATCCCGTTACTTTAAGGATTTGAGTTTGTGGGTGCTGGAACGAGAAGGGGTACAGGAAGAGTTAGGACATGATGGGGGCTGCAGATCCCCCATAATCTGGAGACTATACAAACGTTCAAGGCCTCAGAAATATGACTGTCTGACACTTCTGCTCAAGCCTCTTTTGTTCTGATCACTAAGGGATGCAAGTTGTTATGGAGATGGGAGGGACTGGACTAGAAAGAGACCAGAAGAATAACATATTATTGCAGTGGTTCTCAAAGTGTGGTTCGGGAGCCCCCTAGGGAATCCCTGAAACCCTTTCAAGAAGTCCATAGGTCAAAACTATTTTCATAACTATACTAAGATACTACTAATATTTCCACTCATTATCTTATGAGTATACAGGGGTTTCCAAAGCTGTATGAAAAGCAACATTGCAACACACTAAATGCAGAAGTAGATACAAGAACCCAGCTGCTGCTAAGCGCAACATAAAGAATTTTGCAAAATTTTTAAACATCACTTTGCTCACTAAATTTTTTTGTTTTGAAAAATAGCTATTTTTCACTAAAATGTTACATATTATATGTTCTTATAATAGTCTAATAAAAATATGTTGTAGATTATTATATTGTTATATCATGGGTTTATGGTTTTATCTTAAAGGAATCAATGCTATTTTTATGAATTTCTCAGTATTCATTTATAATATGATAAATATTGACAGATATAATCCACATAAACAGAAGCTCTTTGGGATCCTCAATGTAAGGAACTAAAGAAACCCTAAGACCAAAAAGTTTAAAAAATGCTGAACTACTAGGACATAGAAAAATCTTAAAAGTTTCTCTCTTTGGATGACCTTTAAAAAAAAATTACACCTCTTGCTCTCATGAGTCTCAAACAACATGAGGTCAACAAAATTTCAGAGTCTAAAGCCAGCTGGTCTTCAGCACGGATTCTATGGAATCTCAGACACAGAAGGAAAGGGTCTTAGGACAATCACTTGATCCTCTCTAAGCCTGTTCCCCCACCTGCGAAGTGTTTTATCCACCTCCCAGAAGTTACAGGTATAAGGAATAAAAAGAGCTGGGGCTGGTTGCAGGGGCTCATGCCTGCAATCTCAACATTTTGGGAGTCCAGGGTGGGAGGAGAGCTTGAGGCCAGGAGTTCCATACCAGCCTGGGGAACATAGCAAGACCTCTATCTCTACAAAAAAATAAAAAGAACTTTTTTTAAAAAGAGCTGGCCCAAATTATTAAGACACCTAAGCAATGAGACACAAGCTCTGAGGAGGAATGGTAGGAAGATGTAAATGCAGCATGTCTGTGAACCAACAGGCAAGGCTGGTTTTGGGTTGTTAGGTAAGGAGTCTACATCTGTGTGATGTGGCCTGCTGTCTCAAAGAGTATTGGGTTAGCCCCTGGTTGTTTTCAGGAAGCATTGTTAATCTCCTGGGTCACCCAAGTCACCAGCCCCTCCAAAAGCCCTTTCTGCAGAAGCTGAAGAGCAGGGTTCAGGCTAAATCCTCAGGTGCTCAGGTTGGGTCAGATCCAGATCGTTCTTCATGCGTCTTCCAGCTCGGAGACTGGAGAGCAAACAGGCAGAATGGGAAAGGGGTTGCCTTGGCAATGCCCAAATGGCAAAAGTCCCAGGGTCTGAGTGGGTGTGGCCTCCAGCATGAATAAGCCAATGGCAAGACTCAGCAGGAGACAAGCTAGCTGGCTCTGGTTGCCTTTTGTTTTTTTGTTTTGTTTTGTTTTGATTTTTGTTTTGAATACACTTGCAAGGCACTTTCAACTAATTAAACTTTTTATTTTAGGTCATTGTAGATTCACAGGCAGCTACAACAAATAGTACAGAGAGATCCTGTGTACACTTCATCCAGTTTATCCCAGTGGTAGCATCTTGAAAACTACTATACAAAATCACAGCCAGAAACCTGACAGTGATACAATCCACCAATCTAATGCCGATTTCCCCAATTTTGCATGTACTTATTTGGATGAGTTTTATTTTATGCAATCATATTAATGTATCTACCACCACAGTTCATAACCACACCTATCTCCTTCTCCAAGCTCCCCCTGCAACCCACTCCTGTCCCTGCCTTGGCAATTACTAATCTGTTCCCCATCTCTAGAATTTTGTCATTTCAGAAGATGTTATATAAACAGAGTCAGATAGCAGATAACCTTTGAAGATTGGCTTTTTCACCAAGCATCATTCCTTTGAGATTTGTCCACATTGCTGCATGCATCAATAGTGCTTTTCCTTTTGTTGCTGGGCAGTATTCCATTTTATGGATGGCCCCAATTTGTTTAACCATTTACTTATTGAAGAACATCAGCACTGTTTCCAGTTTAAGGCTGTTCCATTCATCTACAGATTGTGTAAACATAAGCTTTTGTTTCTCAGGAGAAAATGCCCGAGAGTACAAGTGATAAGGCATATGGTGATTGCATGTTTACTTTTTTTTTTTTGATGGATCTCGCTCTGTCTGTCGCCCAGGCTGGAGTACAATGGCACGATCTTGGCTCACTGCAAACTCTGCCTCCCAGGTTCAAGTGATTCTTCCACCTCCGCCTCCCAAGTAGCTGAGTTTACAGGCACCTGCCATCATGCCCAGCTAATTTTTGTATTTTTGTAGAGATGAGGTTTCATCATGTTGGCCAGGCTGGTCTCAAACTCCTGACCTCAGGTGATCCGCCCACCTCGGCCTCCCAAAGTGCTGGGATTACAGGCATGAGCTACCGTGCCTGGCTCATGTTTACTTTTTAAAAGAAAACTGCCCAACTGTTCTCCAGAGTGGCTGTGCTGGTTTCATCCCCTCCAGCAATGTATGAGTGATCCAGTTCCCCACCAGCATTTGGGATTGTCTCTGCTTTCTATTTCAGCCAGTTAGATGTCTTGGTTGCTCCTCTAGAAGTAAGGCATTCAAAAGAGTTGAATGCACAACCACACAGTATCATTAGTATAGTCAGATGTCTCTGGAAGCTAGCGGACCATAAGTTTATTTCACTCCACTTCTCAAGTAAGCAAACATTTAATGAAGTCCTGCTCTGTGACAAGCCCTAATTCAGAGATGGATGGAGACCAGTTTAGCCTTCTGTCTGTCAATTTATCTTATAAATCCACTTAATTATCCCAGTAACCTAATAAAATAGCAGTACTAGGTACTATCATGCCACTTCCTGATGAGAAAACTAAAGCACAGAGAGATTAAGTCATTTACCCAACATACCACAGCTAGACAATAGAAGAGCCAGTCTGCCTGGGGTTCTCCAGGAAGGCTCTCCAGAATACAGGACGATGGATTTGAATCTCAATGCATAAGTAGGATTTCACCAGATGAAAGGAGCAGACACGAGCTGAGAGGGAGTTAGGCAGCGTTCAAAGGCATGCAGAGTGGCTGACCACAGTGGAGGGAATTCTGGGAACCAACATGCACAAACATGGCTGGAAGAGGACATGGCTGCCCAGCCCAAAGGGAGCAGAGACATCCTGCTGGCAGTGATGAGCCACTTGCAGCTGTGGGCCAGGCCTAGCCAGAAAGTCCCCCGTGATCCACATTGTGTTTGTTGGTTTGTTTGGTCATAGTCCACATCACATTTTACAATATTCTAATTCATTGCTAACATTTACAACTTGGAGATTTTATATCCAACATTGGGCGTTCAGCTTTTCTTAGAACATCTCGGTATGTGGCCACAGTGAGCTCACATGGTATCGCCATCAACTGATGTAGAGTTGGGCTGTCCCCTTTAGATAGGGCACATACCCTCTCCTTTACCATAGTCCCCAGTGCTCCCCATTACTCCCACCTGACAGCCCTTACTAACTGACGTCATTTGCCAGCTTCAATGTCATTTGAATTTACAAGCTCTGTCTTAGGCAGAACAAGCCAGCAGTTTCCAAATAACTAGAACTCCAATCTGCACAAGAAAAGAAAGATGGCCTGTGAGTCTCCCCAACACAGAGCAGGGTGAACACAGCAGCTGGGTGGTCCCAAGACAGTGCACTGGCCTTGGTGCTGGGACAGCCCACAGCAGCCAGGCTCCAATGGGCTGCAGACTGGCCTCTCCATGAGACCTGGGCTCACCTGTCAACATTTCCAGATAAAAACCCAGAGTGTGACAGGAACACAGCCCAACTTCCAGGACCTGAGAGAGCAATGGTTACCATCAACCCTTAAAGGGGATCCCCAAGGAAGACCTCATTTGGAGGAACAAGGAAGCAGTTGTTTGCACTCCAAGAACAGACATGGGCCTCCAGAGCTGTCCAACAAGCAATTCGACCAAGGTGCTCATGATTAATGACTGTCTCAGGAGGTGGTAAATTCCCCATCACTCACTGGAAGATCAAATTTCCACCTGTGGGCCAGGCGCAGTGGCTCACACCTGTAATCCCAGCACTTTGGGAGGCCAAGGTAGGTGAATCATGAAGTCATGAGATCGAAACCATCCTGGGTCGCATCGTGAAACCCCGTCTCTACTAAAATACAAAAAAATAGCCAGGCATGGTGGTGCCTGTTATCCCAGCTACTCTGTAGTTCTAGCTACTTGGGAGGCTGAGGCAGGGGAATTG